ATATCTTTGTCCATTCATTATCTATTCGTTTTCACATGCTCAAGTTTGTCTGCTTCATTAGGGGAGGGATTTTTGTTGTGAGCACTTTATATGAAACAAAAGGGCCCTATACTTAATAAACATTTTAATAATAATGTAGTATAATGATGTTGTGTATATTAAAACATAGGCATACAATATGCCACTTTAAAATACCATGTCATCATGCTCTAAAATGGCACATATGCAGCATGGTGGCATATTGTAGTTTAACGTGGATGCAGTAAAATGGTAGTGAAGTGGTTAAGGGGCACCATTGTAGATAGTAGATTTAAAGTTGAGCGTCGGAGACACAAATCTTTGAGAGAAGGAATCATTATCGAAACGGTCATCATTGATAGAGAAGAGCGATTGTTATTGACCGAGAAGATGAAGCAGTGAAACAACACGGGATTTTTGACGATGGATGATGAGATCATGTTGTTCAGGGTAATCACCAAAGATGCAAGAGGTGGAAGATAGGGAAGTTGAAGCATCGACTATTGTTCTCTCTCTGTTTACTGTTCACACAATGAATAATAGAAGCAATACACAATTCTTTTAGTGGTTATGGGGTTTTTTTTTTCTTTGACGAAGATTTAGCAATCAGGCACTGTTGTTGTCGAAGCCGTTGATGTTGTCAAAGCCGTCAATAGGAGCATGACAACCATGCAAAACCTCTTTGATAGCCTCAAGTTTTGGAGAGATGAGAGAAGTTATTCTAGAATCAAGTAGGTTGTGCACCATGTAGAGACAAGAGAAAATTCTAGTTATTGATATTCATAATAGCATCCGTGTGATATCTATATATACATATGAGTTGTTATAAGAGATAAGCATGGGTGGTTACACCGGATAAGGATAAGAGATAACAATAATATCTAATACTATTTTCTGATACCTAATTATATCTAATAATATCTAATATTACCAAACACAACGCTAGTGGTATATCAGATGAAAGGGGTTAAAATCAATTTTACGAAGTTAGATTGAATGGTTATTTTGACATATGATTACATGAGTGCATACATCGGATAAGGATAAGAGATCACAATATAATAACAATAATATCTAATGCTATTTTCTGATACCTAATTATGTGTAATATCTAATATTACCAAACACAACACTGGTGGTATATCAAATGGAAAGGGTTAAAATCAATTTTACGAAGTTAGATTGAATGGTTATTTTGACATATGAATACATAAGTGCATACATCGGGTAGATCACAATATAATAACAATAATATCTAATGCTATTTTCTGATACCTAATTATGTCTAATAATATCTAATATTACTAAACACAACACTAGTAGTATATCAGATGGAAAGGGTTAAAATCAATTTTACGAAGTTAGATTGAATGGTTATTTTGACATACGAATGCAAGAGCGCATGTTCTTTCATGACACATAACCTAACTATGACCCTTTGAAATGTTTGGTAGATCTTGTGCCCGTACACATACCAGAGTATACACTTCCAACCATGTATTATGTCCAAGTAAGAGAAAATGAGTGGACCTAAAATGAAAATGCTGATATGAGAGTTGAAATATGCAAAAGGATTGGTTAAGAAACAAACTCATCAATAAGAAGTTATAGCTAAACTTATCCTTTGGTTATAATTGAATGGACCTCAAAAAAAATTTAAGGGTTTTTCACATACTATTATCTACATCTTTTGATGTTTCTAAAATTTTCCTCGAAGTGTTATTGTTTGTCAATTTGCCAACCAAATTATACCAGACTTGAAAGTCTAGTACTTTACTCAATTTTTGTTAGATTTTTAACAGAATGACATTTGAATTTTTGTTCTGCCCTATTCTTCTTCCTCCTTCCTCTTTCATTCTCTTCCACCATTTTCTTTTCTGTCTCCTTCTCTTATGAGTTCTGACCGTACAGAATATCGTTATGACCGCCTTGTTCTCAAAGCATGAATGTCTTCACCTGATAAAAAAAATGGTTCCAAAGATTAAAAGAAAAAAGTAGGATAGTAACTATCTTGCTTATTGGTGGAAATAGGTGGAGATAAAATAGTGAGGAGTTTAGCCTATTTCTTGAAATATAATTGCCATAACAAAAATGTTGAAAGTGTTGGTTTCTCTAACAGTGTCGTGGAAAGATAAGCTAGAGGGTTTGAGTGTGATTTGGGGGTAAATATATAATAGCATGATTTGAAGAGTTATTTTGAAACTCCTAAGATTGGACGGTGGGTATGTGAACCCGTTTTTAAATTGACTTCTTAGTGAAGGTTGTTGCAGAGACTTTTTGTGACATGTGAAATGTCATTAAATTTTCTAGAGGAAATGTAAGAGGAACTTGTAAAAGGGAAAGACTGGCTAAAATTCTTCCGAGAAAACCAATATATCCATATTTTTAGATGGTCATTTGATATATTCTTTTCTTATCTCTCTTTGTACGAAGTGCATTCTCAGCATCTATTTCAAATTTAATGGAAGCTGATTATCGATCGTTAAATGCTTGCTAACAGATTTTCATGGTATTCTTTTTGTAGTTCGCAAATGCCTTCTTGTTTTGTTTTACTACTGGTCTCATCTTGTAGCTTCCTGCTAGCGTAGGCCTTACGATGATGGCTTAATTTCAGGTTGAAAAGAACTTTTTGAATGGGAAATTGAAAGCAATCACTGCATATTTTGATAATCCGACTTAGTAGAAGCTACAGATCGATCTGTTGCTTATCTATTTTGAAGTGCTTAAATTTAAAATCCGGAGGGGGTAACGAGAAGCAATAAACTGCTTTAGTTTGGTGCCAATTGAAGCTTGAGATGATGTATATATAGAGGACCAAGATGTATATATTCTTTTTAGATGATATCGAACCTTTTTCTTTTTCCTTTGCGTCTTTCTTTTCTTTTTCATTTCGGCTTTTTGTTATCTTATTATCATGTGTCAGTTTTCAAGTCCTCCATCTTCTTGCAAATTCTGATATATGTTGTCATGAGTGAAATACATTGTAGTAGATCTGAAGCTAAAATGCTGATGGACGTTAAAGCTCTTGTGATGCAGCATCAAACCTTGGAATACTGCAACTGTAGATAAATATATTCAGGGTTGATGACGATTATTGCTTTACTGTTAACAGGATTGGTTATGTCTGTAATTGAACAATCCTCGTCCTTTACTTTAAATTGGACGGGTGTTTTCGTTTTGTTGGAAATTTTTTTTTAATGCAGTATTGTCTCAGTAACGAAAAAATATAAGATATCCGAATAAGTATTAGCTGGTTGTTGGTTACTATACATGCGGAGTTCAATGCTGATTCATTCCATCTTTATATCAGGGCGAGTTAAATAAACGTGTGAAATTGAATCCAGCAAGGATTGCATCGACATTTTTAAAAACCAAACCGAATCAAATTATATTCAAAACTGAACTGATCTAGATTGGTTTGGTGTGGTGCGGTTCGGTTTATTTGGTTTGAGCCTAGGCATGTCAGGTAGAGCAGTTCTAGCTAAAATGCAAAACTCTTGCCTTTCATTGATCTCATATCCTTAGTTGAAGAGTAAATTCATCAAATCCACTACTTTTACAAACTAAAATTGAAATTTTATCAATTAAGATATATGAAATATTAGTTAAAGGTTGCTTTTAAAATAGAAAAAAGCGTTAAGTTTGAGATTAATATATTAAGAGTGATCCGTTCGGTTATTTCAGTTTCAAGTATTCTAAAATTGAATTGAACCGAATTTTTTTAAAAAAAAACTGAACCGAACTGTCAAATTTTGATAGGTTCTGTTGGTTTTAATCGGTTGACACTGATTTATGCTTATCCCTATTTATGCTTATCCCTATGCATTCGTCTATATTCTGCTAAAGTTATGACAGTTGAAAATCATAAATAATATTGCATCTAGTAACACCGTGCTACTATACTACACAATGTACACATGGAGTACAACTTCCTAGCTATTTAATGAGATATAATGTCTTGAATATTCTACATTTAACAAGACATATCCTTAGTCATAATTGTCCTTTAGATTTGTATTTCGAAAACGAAGATTCGGATTGAGACTCTCTGCCATGACTATGTCAATATTTTCTCCTCGTGCTAGTACTTAAGGTGAAACAAGCTGGTTTTACCTTGTTAGAAGCTGGTTGATCAAATTGCATATGTTTTTAGGTAAATTTTTAGTAGAGGCCCCTAATGTGTCCGCTAGATATCATTTGAGCTTTTAATATTTGGAAGTTATCACTAAGGTTTCCAAAATTACGAACGTCATCAATCTAGGATATTTTTACAAAATTTTGTTAAATCTTACTGACATAGTGATAATATGGTCCTATCATATTAGTGCCATGTCAGCAAAAAAATTAGTAAAATTTCAAGTTTAATATAAACTTGTAATTTTACCAATTTTTTGTTGATGTGAGAGTATAAACTTGGACATTCACTAATTTTTTTGCTAACATGATAGTGCCACATCATTGGTACACAAGCGAGATTTAATTGAAGTTTGTAAAAAGAATCTAAGTTAATGATAGAGGTACGTTAGGAAACCCGAGTGATGACTTCTAAACATTAAAAACTCAAATGATATTTAGCCGCTACTATAGGAACCTTTTCTAAACTTTTGCCATATTTTTACTACTATATTTTACATTGAATTTCAGATTTAAGAATTAATCAAAGAAGAGTAACAATATTAATTCTTGCAAGGATATTGTCTCATATAGTACAAAGCAATGATGCATTTGTCTGTTATCAAGTACCATACTAGCACCCAAGTACCCAACACTTATGCTATAAACACGTGTTACCATGAAAAACTTTTGCTGACATAACCACAATCCGTCATGCGAAGGATTTTGGGACTTCTCACTCAACAGTCTATGGAAGTCAATTTTTGTCCATACTCATTTACCTACCTAGTCTGCTCATCAGTTGGCCCACTCAAAACTTACTCATTTAGTTAAATGGGTCTAATCGGGTGGGTTTATTTCAAACTATACTAAATGGGTAGTAAATGAGCAATCTATATTCACTCATTTGCCCGCCTGATTCCCAAGAAGGCAATTTTTGTCCATACTCATTTACCTACCTAGTCCGCTCATCAGTTGGCCCGCTTAAAACTTACTCATTTAGTTAAATGGGTCTAATCGGGCAGGTTTATTTCAAACTATACTAAATGGGTAGTAAATGAGCAATCTATATTCACTCATTTGCCCGCCCGATTCCCAAAACCAAAACCCAAACCCGAAGCCATGACACCTTGGTTATTCCCCTCTTTGAGAGTTCACCAACAATACTCTGATCAATCCCAAGCTTAGCAATCTCAAGCCCCTCGTCACCTCCCCCTTTCTTCGAACTTACCACCTTCTCCTCCTCAAAATACCTCTCCTCCATCGCGAATCCAACTCGAGCGGCATCCGAAGCCCTGAACCCCAAGCTCCTCGTACCCAAATGAAACATTCTGGCCCTTATCTCAAAGACTCCGCCTTTCTTCGATCCATGGAGGTGGTCGAGGCTGGTGATCGAGGAGGGGGCGGAGGTGAAGGATTCGGAGGGGATCAAGCGCAGGAGGGCGGCTAGGGTTTGCCGTGACGATGAAGGGGTTGCGATCGATGTGGATTTCTTTGCGGAAATTGAACCTTACTATAACGATCTCGATCCTTGATCATCGTGATGATTTATCCTGCATGTTTCGATTTCTTCGCGGAAATTGAACCTAACTGTAAGTTTTGGGAGATTTGAATCCTGTTGAATCGATTAGAGGCCTAGGTTTTTGTTGGAATTTCTGTGAATTTCCTAGAATTTTTTTTGATGATTTGAGTCTGTGTTGTTTAGTTGATGACTCTGTGAAGTTTTAGCGTATTTAGATCTCAATATCTGATCTGATTCTTCTAGATTTTGAATTTTGCTGTAATTTTAAGTTTGGTTTAGCTGCTGCAGGTGTGGTTATGGGAGATTTCATTAAGTTTTGTGTTGTGATTTGTCTAATCATTTTTATATCATCTGTGAAAATTGAAGTATTTCATGATTTTAATTATGTTGAACTGATCATAGGTCTAGTTTTCCAATTTGCGGTGTATTTAGTTTCCGTGTGATTTTAGTGTTTATGTGTCATGCAAATTGTATTAGCTCAAGATATTGCAGGAATAGGTTCTTGATATGATTTCAAACTTAGATCAATATAAGTTTCCTTTTTGGAAACTTGTGCAGGCAGAGAATTATGCAAAGTTCAAATAAGCACTTACATGGCTAAAATGCAAGCAGTGTTTACAAGAGCATTGGGGTTGATACCCTTGCAGTTTGATTTTTATGAATTGTCTTGCTTGTGATGATACAGCTATGGAGAAAGCTTGATTTTGTGGTTAACTGTAGCAGTTTGGTTGTATATAAATGTGAAATCTGTTAAAATTTTCAGGATTAATACTTCAATTTCATTTGTTTTAACAGGTGAGCTAATATACTCTTTTGTTGAAATTAGATTTGAATAGTTTACAAAGAACCCCCAAAAGTTTGTAAAGAACCCCCAAAAAGTAGCAAAAAGCCTCCAAATTTTTGCGAAAAGCCCCCAATAGTTTGCAAAAAGCCCCCTAAAATTTACAAAAAGCACCCCAAAAGTATTATATACATAGCTAATATAGTTAAATGGGCAAATGGGTAGCCCGTTTATTAAATGGACGGGCAAAAACCCGCCCATTTAGAAAATATTAAATGGACCATAAATGGGTAAATTGACAAAACATGTCCACCATTTAATACCCAAACACACTCATTTAACACCCCTACACCAGCCTTACCAAAACAAAGACCCGCATCTAGCTTATAATATTGTTATTACGAATGTAGATCATCTATATCAGTCATATAATCACACGTGTTGACTTATATCGAGGCAATAACATCCATATGTGGTATATGATTGGTTCTCTTGATTATAACAATATACAAATTGTGAAAGCTACGTAGGATCTAGATAGATGTACGCATGTAATGGGGATAGTCTACAACTAGATTATGCACAGTGGAAATAAAAAATTCTAATATGTATCTAAGAAATATAAACGACTAGTTTAGGTTACTAATTTGGATCTTGTCTATAGGATCACCAGGCCTTTCTTGATTAATGACTAGAGGGCAACCACATAATGCAACAAGCGAGAAGTCCACACATATCACCCCACGACTACCACATAAAACATTAATCCAAACTAAGAATGATATGATGGTTATATAAAAGTTTATGGTGTATATCCCCTTTTTTCATGAAAATCCCTATATCTATATATAATGGCTTAGAGATAGAATCATACACTCACTACGATAATGGATATCTTATCTTTAAGATAAGATATTATCCACCCACTTATTTGGGTGTCTATATCATAACAATAACCGACATACTTCTACTCACACAAATGAGTGTGTGTCATCCGTTGCTCCCTGAGCCGACGTCCTGAGTCATTGACTCTATGAGTCAAAGTCTCCTAATTCATGTCCATGCATCGTTAGTGTTGTCGGAACCATTAAGAAGCTGCATGCGGGTAGCTTTGCAGTCAGATCCATTAGGACCGACGCAAGGATCTCCCTAAAATAAAAACACACAATAGATAGTGTAATTATGCGGTATCTTGTACCCTAAGTTTGATCAATCATCTCTGAATACCTTCAATCCCTTGAAGAAGCGTACATGAACATTGCAGTGTACCCTCGATTCATCGCACTCTTAGATTATGTCCTTGGCATAAATTAAATCTGGCCTAGAGACATGTTAATTAATCTTTCTCTATCCCCTAATAGTTTAGCGTGTTAATCACCCACTTTCTTGACACAGCCACATATGTGCGATATTGTCACATTGTAGCAAGAAACAATAGCAAAAATAACAGACATAGCCTTTCCAGACAACCCAGTGTCTCTAAAGGTACAGTGACTACTCTCCATAACTGATAGTCATCTATAAGTGCTCACACAGCGAGGGAGTAATGATCCATCCCTCGACATCTTTATATCTGGTCCAAGCACACGTCATATGGCAACGTGCTATGGTACTACTTCTCTCTCCCTAGGCACATACATTATTAAATTAATATCATACAAACCTAAGTTACATCACCCAGTGATGAACTTGTCTAGTCAATACCGCCTTACGATATGCTTGAGATCTTCTGACAAGCCCGCTCCTCGTATGCCAAGTTAGACCCCTAATATGGTTGATAGTAAAC